GAAGAAACTGCCCCCCCCCCACACACTCCCCAGCGCTATGCTACTGATGCGGGGGGGCCTTTGGGACCAAATCTTATTGTGCCACTTGATCGCCTTTTAGCTCCTCTCTGTAGCACCATGGGGAAGGGGCAATGGAGACATGTTGTACCTAGCTGCTAGTGGGAGTACTATGCTACTGATGCGGGGGGGCCTTTGGGACCAAATCTTATTGTGCCACTTGATCGCCTTTTAGCTCCTCTCTGTAGCACCATGGGGAAGGGGCAATGGAGACATGTTGTACCTAGCTGCTAGTGGGAGTAGGGGTGATGCATGTCTCCAGATTCAGCCACCCTCTCAGCTGGAGGAAACTGCTGAAGAGGAAACGAACTAAGAGAGGCAGCCGTGGAAGTGATTTTTTTTCTCCCTGCCCAAACCTGCTCCCCCGCCCCCACTTGGAACTGCCCTGGGTCTCACCAGAGCCACTGCAGCAACCACACGCTTTTCCCACCAGGCACTGGGGTGTGTGCACAGAGTGTTAACATCCGAGTGCATGGCTCTGAATGTTCAATTAGACAGGCATGAGCTGCCGCCCCCTCCCCGATCCCCTTTCAGGACAAAATCCCAGACATTTTTTGCCAAATTTCACTTGTGTTGAAGTACCCCCCCCGACTTCTCTTGTGTACCTTTAAGGGTACATATACCACTGGCTGAGAAACACTGGTCTAGATGGTGCTTGGTCCTGCCGTGAGGGCAGGGGACTGGACTCAATGACCTCTCAAGGTCCCTTCCAGTTCTAGTGTTCTATGATCTAAGTACAATAGCGCAATCTTTTTATCGTGAGAATGCAATTTACAAATGTAGATGTTTTTGTTATCTAATCACACTCAAAACAATGTAAAACTTTAGAATCTACAAGTCTACTCTATCCTACTTCTTAGTCAGCCAATTGCTAAGAAAACAAGTTTGTGTACTTCTACGGGAAATACTGCTGACTGCTTATTTACAATGTTAGCTGAAAATGAGAGCGGGCATTTGCATGGAACTTTTATAGCCAGCATTGAAGTGTTTTAATATGCCAGTTATATATCCACAGAAAAAAATCAGTCGAGAACTGCACAAATGTGAGAAGAATCATCCCCACATTCCTATGCCACACAAGTACCATGGGGCAGGGCAGGCTAGTAGATTTTGTGGGCCCCCCTACTCTCTGGGGTGGGGCCAAAAATGAGGAGTTCAGTGTGTGGGAGGAGGTTGCTGGGAACCAGGCTTGGTGTATGAGGTATGGGGGTCTGGGAGGGTGGTAGGGTTCAGGAGCAGGCTGGGAGTGGGAGGAATGGGCAGGTGATAGGGTGCATGAGTGGAGTGGTGGCATAGAGTCTGAGTGGGAAGGGGGCCAGCAGAGCTGGAGCACCAGCTCTCCAATGCTGGTGGGGGGAGGGGGGAGGGCAGAAGCCTCAGGGGCCAGATTTAGGCAAGCTGGGGAACCAGCCCCCAGGATGTAGGTTCCTCACCCCTAAACATTCTTATGTCCCTGCATGCTTTGGCTACCATTCCAGTGGACAAGTTTCCTGGCTGATGACATACAAAAATGCATTAATTACATTTGTGATTGAACTTCTTGGAGGAGAACTATATGTCATCTTCTTTGTGTTTTACTCACATTCTGCCAAATATTTCATGTTATAGCAATTTTGGATGCTGACCCAGCATATGCTGTATGTTTTAAAAAATATTTCACTGCAGATTTTACAAAATACAAAGCAGGTACCAATATAAGATTTCTAAAAATATAGAGATTAGAGAGATTAGAGAGAGAGAGAGAGAGAGAGAGAGAGAGGATTACAGATAGATAGCACTTGACCCAAAGTTTAAGAATCTGAACTACCTTCTAAAATTTGAACAGGAAGAGGTGTATGTATTCAGAAGTCTTAAAAGAGCAATATTCCACTGCAGAAACTACAGAACCCAAACCATTAAAAAAGAAATTGACCTTTTGACGCAGATGATGCAACATGAGTCAGTTCATACTGCTTTGGACTGATATTGAGCAGAACTGTCATCAGCATGGATACAAGTCCTCTAGAATGGTGGTTGATGTATGGAGAAGCATATGAATCTTTAGTGCATTGGGCATGTAAATATTTTTCAACTTTGGCTACAGCAGTGCTATGAGAATACCTGTTCTCACTTTCAGGTGACATTGTAAAGAAAAAGTAGGCAGCATTACCTCTTGCAGATGTAAGCAAACATATTTGTCAGAATGATTAGCTAAACAAGAAGTAGGACTAAGTGGACTTTTTTTTTACATAATTCTACTTTTATAAGTACAACTTTCATGACAGAGACTGCACATAGTATTTGTAATGGGGGACTTGAAAACAAAATTTTCACACTGAAAACATTTGTAATAAAAATAAAGCTAGTGCTGCAAATATCCTGTTGTTGCATTCAGTGTTGTAACTGAAATCAATATATTTAAAATGTAAAAAAAAAAATCCACAATTATTTAAATCAATGGTATTCTATTGTTAATGGTACAATTAATTACACAATCAATTGTGATTAAAAATAATCATGATTAATTGCACGATTAAAAATGAATCACTTGACAGTCCAAATAAGAACCTTTCAAGCTAGAAGCATATAGTCAAAACATTGACTTTCTTTCCCCTCTACTTTGTAGCCTCAAACAGTAGGAGCAGAGGAACCTAGAAAGTACAGTGGAAGTCTGGAGATGCAGAGAATGATGATAAAAACAAACATTAGAAAAAGGGAAAGATGGAGAAGAGGAAATTGAACCTAGTTTATGGTTGCACAGATATATTTCAGGGCAAAATTCAGCTTTTGGTTTTACATTTTATGACAGAAATGTAAAAAATATATCCTGTTGTTGCATTCAGCAATACAAATTTCAGTTGTAATGGTGGTAGAGAATGAGTTGACATTTCTTTGCTTTATTTCTTCAGTTATTCTTTTGATCAGATGACTTAAAATAGCAGTGCAAAGAGCCAGAGAACTTAATGAAGAAAGGAAAGGAACAGAAAAGATTAGAAAGGTACCAGCTGACCTCAGAGGAGAGTGGACTTATAAGAAAGGATTTTCTTTTTTCCAGAGTTTGTTAGTTCTATGTTCTGCCATTATTGCCAGCTGTGAGCACTTACGATATTGCAAGTTTTTTCCCTTATTGAGCTTTCTACGTTTAACCAGTAGTTGAACGTCTTCCTCAAATTCTCTATTTTCAATCCGGAAAGACTTTCCCCAGGAGGTTTCTTGCCAACTGGTAATAACCACTGACAACATATAAATGCCATTGTGCCTCATGGAACCTCACGGACACTCTAACAAATTGGATTTATTAAAATACAGACAATACTAATTTTTGTTAAAAAAAATGATTAGTTATAAAACCACGTCCCAACTTCAGGTAGGCAGGCAATGATGGGGGGCAGGAAGGGAGGGCACCTCTGCCCACTTCGTCCAGTCCACCTGGGCTTGTGTTGGGCAATGGGACACTCTGGCCAGTCCCCCAAGGCAACAGGCCTACATTTTGATGATCACAGCTGCTGGGCAGGTCAGCTGGACAGCTTCTCCTGCTGCAGCATGCATGCACAGTGCGCTAGTCAGGTGCTCTGCTGCTGCTGTCTCTCCCCCTTCAGCCAGAGCAAAGTTGTATTGCATCCTCCAGATTCAGGCGGAATTAGTGCTGGGACTGTAGCAGAGCTTAGATGGGGGAGGGCCCTGACTGGACTGTCT